TTTTAAGACAGGGTCTTGTGTAGTTCAGGCTGGCCTTCAGCTCACTTTGTAGCCTAGGATGGTCTCAAACTCACAGTCATCCCCATGCCTCAGCCTCCCAAGTGCAGGGATTAGAGGCATGCGCCACCATGCCTGGCTGTCCAAAATGCTTTTATGCAAGAAAAATCATGATTTAGTAGCAAGTAATCTTGGCAAAATTCCATAAGCTAATTCTCAGTTTCCTTATCTGTAAAACAAGATGGTAATTCCACATTTAAGAGATATGAAATGCAGGATCCTGCATAGTAATTTAATACATTTTGGTTTCTTCATGGAAGCATAGTTGCTAGTATATATATCTATATAGAGATATATAGATATATATATCAAGGAATGGCAGGGGGCATTGGGTAAGCTGAGTGTGGAAATCTGGTGGCTGAGTAGGTCTAGTTGTGCCAGGCTTTTCCACAGGCAGAGCCACTAAGATGTTGACTGCTCAGGACTTCATCTGCTGACTTCTGAGGCATAGAAGGCCTCGGTGCATAAAAACATGTCATCCTTTTCAGGTGTGGCACCTTTTCCAGATACAGGATACTGAACTGACAGGAATAGGACTGACCAATTGTACTAATTTTTGGGTTTATTCCTCAGTGACTATCCAGTAAGTCAGTCTTCTGAAGGTCTGTTGATGACAAAGGAAGGAAGGATGTTCTTTTTGGTCCATCTGTACCTCTCTTTGAATTTCCTCCCACATCTCCACTTCCTGCTATGGCTTTTTCTCTGTATGTTTTTGATATCCCTATGTCCTATGTTTTACCCCCAAAGCAGTATGCATTCAATGGCAAGCACTGAGGGACTCTACCTGGCATTAGAGAGTTTAAAATCAGAGCTTATTTAGAAATTACAATAAATACATATAACATTTATTATATATTTATTATATACCATTTTGATCTTTTACATTTATACTTTTATTTAATTCTAAGAAAAATATGATTTAGCTATTATAGTTATTTCCATTTTTAGATGAGAAAATCGAGACTCAGTAAAGTTAGGTAGTTTCCCCACTCTAACATATGTAGACACTGCAGAGTAGGAATTCAAACCCAGACCTGCTGGACTTCGAAGCCATTTCTTACGACAGCTCTAACCTGTCTCAGTAAGTTCTGAAGTTAGGAAACTGGAAGGAAGGACAACAACAACGATAAAATAAGCCTAAGGTAAGGCCAAGAGAATCGCTGACAAATAAAATTCATCTCATTCCTTTTCCATGTTTGATGTCCATTTTTATATCTTGGCTAAGGGTGCTATTATAAAGCTATTTGCTCAAGGTTACCCTCCTCCTCCCCGCCCTCATCATCAGATGATTTTTATTTATAGCCATGTTTAAACATCATGGGCAACTTGCTGTATACTGAATTTTCCATCTGAGCAAACATTCTTTCTTGAAGCAAATTTGCTTTATTTACTTTGTTTCTTGCCAAGAAATTCAAAGGACTCTTTTTTTGGTTTGCTTTAAAATTTTTGTTCCAAGTATTTCCTCACCTCTAGAATGGAGACAGTCAAATTAGTTAAGACCAGGTTAATCAAATTCAGCTTTCAGATCCATCGGTTATTTTGAGTTCTACAGAGTAAGAAAATATTCTGGATTTCTTCTAGAGGAAAAGATAATTGTGATTAACATAGTTATATATTGTTTATAGTCTTGTATGCTTTACCTCACTGCCTGAATGCTAATAAGAACCTCTTCCTAGAATTCATTCCTTAAGAAGTCATGCATTTAATTAGTTGGCAGGATGCTTTAAATACATATAATTATATCTTCCCTCCATTCATTGGTAGTGGTGAGCCAAGTAATTTGAATCAAGAGAAAATAACACCTGTATTAATGCTACCAAGGAGGAGCTCACACTGTTGGAAAAACATTGACATTATAATTTTAGCACTTGGGGGTGTTCAATAGTTTTTAATTTACCAAACTAACATCACCAAAATCCCTGCAGATAAGAGAACAAAGGCAAAGAGAAATTATATAGACCCTGCTCCATATTTCAGTCCTTAGAAGGACAACTGTGACTATGGCTGAGACCTTGTTAGTTTGAAGTCTGAAATCCTGACCACTGGCTTCTCTTTTCTGAGCGCCTAGCTGCTGCTTGCGTTATCAGACAGGATCAACTTTTACACAGGTGCAGGAAATGGTGAGGAATAAGATAAAGCCGCAGACTGAGTATGTGGACACCAAGGGATGTGTTTTTCCCCCCTCTTTCATTCCACGGGTTTAGAACTCTCAGTTGGGGATCTTAACTGCAATAGGGGTCAGAATTGGAGCTAAAAGAACTTTCCCTGGGGCTGGTTAAATTAAGTATACGATAAGCTTCCTGGAGGAGGAGTTCTTGGCATACCGGTGGGAGGCACAAAAGGAAAGCAGATAAGTCTTCAGCTTGGGGAGGCCAAGTGAGTCAGTCTTGCCAAGCAGGCTGTATGGATGAAGAATTTTCAGCTGCACCACTGGATGTGTAGGCCACGGTGCCTTCTCAGCCTGTAGGTTGGGCCGCAGAACTAGAACACTCTTTCTGAGTGTTGAGGGTACGCTTGGCGTCAGGGCTGACTGCGATGAGGGTAGGGCCTTAGAAGACAGGCAACCAGGGTTCAGCTTTAGCTCTTGTTATGGTTAGCAACCTTTTGGAAAGCTGCTATACCTTTCAAATGATGGGGGTATTGTAAGCTCTCGCTGCCTTTTCCAAACATTTTCCAGCCAGTTCTGTTGCAGGAACACAGACTCCATCAGGGTAGAATCTCAAATCTGCTTGGATGACCCTCTATCCCTCAGGGCATGGGGCCTAGCAAATATTTAGCGCCCTACAAAGCCACATATTTCTGTACAGAGAGGAACAATAAATGCTTCGCAAACTCTAAAGAGACCTAATTAGGCCAAAGTCCCATCTCCAGGGTATCTGAGCTTTAATGGGAGCATCCGTGTCTTTCGAGATGTCCTCTATGAAGCAGGCCAGGGCGGCAGTTGTTGGGGGCTCAGTGCCAGCGGGAATCGTGGGAAGGCGGACACGCGAGGCGCGGACGGGACCGCGAGGGGGGCGTGGTCCCCGGCCGCAGAGAGTCCAGGCCCGCGCCGGCCGCAAGCCGGACGAGGTGTGGCCGGGGACAGGTGCGCGCCGGGCCCTCAGGTGCGCTGCGCGTCACGCCCCCGGCAGGGTCACTCCTCCGCCCACGAGTGACCTAGTTACACCGTGCGGGCAGCGCCCAGAGGTGGACACAGGCGGTGATCCCAACCAGGCTGCCACTCGGTGCCCATTCCGGCCTCCCAAGGTGCGGCCACCCCACACAGTTCCAGCGCCGCTGGGCCACGAAAGAGCTATAAGGTCGCAGTTCCTGGTTCCGTGACCCGGCTGCCACTTCCCAGGTGAAGAGCCGAAGGGTGTCAACCGAACCGTCCTCCCGCGGGACCGACCAAGGGTTCGGGCCTCCAGGCGCCCCCGCCCACCGCTGCACTCGACTGCGCCTGCGCGCGCAGCTCGGCGCTCCGCCGGAGCCTGGGTGTGAGCACTGCGCCTGCCCGGATTCCGTTCTTTCCGCCCCCGCGACCCCGCCCTTCCAGAGGACCACGCCCCGAAAGCGAAGGCGCCTCAGTCCCCGGCGGCTGCGCCGAGCAGCGCCGGATCCCGCGTTTGGTTCTTCAGTGTGCGTCCCTCCTCCAGCACAGCGGCCGGCCGCGGCCCTTCTGAGGTTGCGCAGTCCGCGTCCCGGCCCTTTCCTTGCCTCGGCTCCCCGCCGCCCCCCGACGCCGGCGTGACGTCAGCACGCCGGGCGGCCGCCATTACACGGCCGAGCTCCGGAGCTAGGGGAGCTGAGGAGGAGGCGCAGCCGCCCGCGGCCGAGCACCGCAGGGAGAGCCAGCGAGCCGCCGTTGGCGCCCAGCGACCGTCGGGGACCACAGACACACCCCAGGAACCGGTGGCGGCGTGTGCGTGTGGCCCGTGTGCGGGCGGCGGCGCGGGAGGAGCGCTCAGCGGCAGCCGGTTCGGTCGGGTGGCATCATGGACGAGAAGGTGTTCACCAAGGAGCTGGACCAGTGGATCGAGCAGCTGAATGAGTGCAAGCAGCTGTCCGAATCTCAGGTCAAGAGCCTGTGCGAGAAGGTGAGCTGCTCCCGGGCGGCAGGAGCCGGGCCCGCGAGGACGCGGTCGAGGGAAGGGTGCAACATGGCGGAGCCGCCGGCCGGGCCCGCGATCCCGGCCGACCCGGCCCGGCCCGGCCCGCTCTGCGGCGGCTCCCGAGCGACCCGGCGCCCCCTGCCTCCCGCGCGGAGATTGGTTGTCGCTGCCACCGCCGCCTAAAATGGCGCCGTTCACAGAGCCCGGGCTCCGGGCTCCCAGCTCGGCCCGGGCGGGGTGCGAGCGCGTCGAGAGCGCTGCAGGTCCGGGGCGGGAGCCCGAGCGAGACCCGGGCGGGGGGCGTGGGATCTGCTCCCGGGAGTCAGGCCTGGGCCTGTGCGCGACGCGGGGCAGAGGCTCCCTCCCCACTTGTGGTCAGCCCGAATTCAGGGTCCGGCGTGGCCAGAGTCCCCCAAAGACGAGCTTGTGGGACTGATCCCGGGACCTGTGTTAAGGTCGCAGCTTGAGTGCCAGCCAGCACGGGTGGTTTGTATTAACTCACCCCGCAGTCGTCCGCGGAGGCCTATTTAAAGGGTGTCTTGAAGAGTGACAAAATAAGCCGGCTAACCTATTTTCTGCGAAGGTCGTGGTGGTAGTTACAAGGAAGGAGTATAACTTATTTGTCGTAGTTGGAAGAAATGGAGAATTGGTGAGTCATACTACATACGGAGCTTTTGGACTAGAAATCCGAGTGTCGGTTTGGTTTATGATTTATATGCTGACTCAAATTGAATAGGATGAAACCTTTCTCGGAGCTAACACACTTGGCATTGTGCCACTTATTTTTAGAGTGAAAAACTAGAAGCGTGTCAGATTTTGTCCTGGATCTTTGTGGAAGAGTTACTCGACTGTATTTTTGTGACTGAAAGTAGTTGTGCTAATAACTACTGCATATTGATCTCTTATTGTATTCCAGATAATGTGCTTAATATCTCACATGTACTGAAAATGTTAATAATACTTAGCTTTGCATTTTATATTTATTTTTTCCCTTAAGGTTAGGGAAGCAACCTATTATCAACTTTTATTTTTCTTAGTCTTTAACTCGTTTTCTAAAGTGTATGAAACACTTATCTTCACTGTGAAGATGTAACTTCCTTTTTCACAATTAACTTTGTAGCTCTTCTTTTTTCAATAGAATTTTGCGATGTTAGTATTTTGTACTTAGAAGCTGTTGTGCTTACTTGTTTGTGGTTTAATGTGAAAATGTAGCTTCTTGAATTTGATGTATGTTCCCAAAGCACGAGTTCTCAGAAATTGAGTAAAGAACAGTTGGAATTTTGATTGCCTGTAGTTCCAGCACTTGGGAGGCTAACACCGGAGGATTGTTGCAATTCAGGGCCAGCCTGAATTGTGTAGTAAGACCCTGTCTCTAAAAACAAATCAAAACAACCGCCCTGAAAAGCAAACAGTTGGAATTTAAGTAAGCTAGATTTACATTATCGCAAGCCTAGATGAGACAATAGCAGTGAATGGGTGACTTACCTGTTGGTGGGGTTTTTGTTTTTAGTACCACAATGCATCAAGCCTTCTGTTTCTTGACCTTTACTTCTCAAAATATGAGACAGATATATTGAAAGTTAAGATCTTTAAGAGGAACTTATTTATTTATTTATTTATTTTGGTGGAACTGGGGATTAAACTCAGTCCCTTGTGCTTGCCAGGGAAGGGCTTATTCCACTGAGCCATCTCCCCGGCCCCTGGTATATCTTTTTGTTAAATAAAATATAATTTCTTTCACTTTTTTTTTTTTAAAGTATTTAGTACAGGGTCTGCCGGTCTTACTACACAGATCGGACTCTTAGTGATCCTTCCGTTTTCAGCCTCCCAAGTGCTGGGATTACAGACAGGGGGGACAGTTGCCTCAGTGGCTGTCTCAGTGCACCCAAGGGGCGGGGCCCGCATGGCTTGCGGAATGAGCTGAGCCTGCCTAAGCAGGCAGCTTTAGTCTGCTAAGCCATCTGGCCAGCCCTCTTTCACATGTTTCTTTGTAGCTACTTTTTGTTTTTTGAGACAGGGTCTCATGATGTAGCCAGCTGTGCTGGAATTTGGAGCAAGTTCCTCCTGTCTGAGCCTCCCAAGGGCTGGCATTACAGGTTTGTATCACCACACCAGTTTTTTATTATTATAAAGTTCAAAAGTATAGGTGTGATTCACATTCTCTTTCTGTTGGACAGCAGAGTGAGATTGTGAGCCTGGGTACTGTTGACATTTGGAGCAGAAAACCCTAGGCCTGTTTTGGGCACAGTGGTAGGACATTTTTTTCAGTGTTTGTGCAATCTGTCCAGCTGAAGTCACCTGGGTTTTGTTTTGTTGAGTTGAAATGAGGTCTTTCTGTATAGTCAGGATGGCCCCAAATTTGTGATGCTCAAGGTTTAGTCTGTTTTGGAAGATGTTAATTTCTGGGTACTATAGATAACGATTTTACTTTTGGTGTTTGAGTCAGTAGTTAGCTAGATGAATAGTCATTTGTGAAGAAGATATTGAAAAGAGAAGTAGTGATGTAATTGGAAAGCTCCTTACTAGACACTAGTCCTATTTCTGCTTCTAAGTGAGTTATTGTGGTTGACTTCCTTGGTCTTTGTATATATTCTGAGGTCACTTCTAATCTGAGACAGTGTGATTGTCTTAAATTTGTACTTTGTGTTTAAATAATATTGGACACTTAGTTGCATACACCATCACATTGCATATTCTTCTGAGAAAAATGAAAATCTTAAAGACAAGAGTGGGCGTGGTGACACATATCTGTAATCCTAGTATTCTGGAGGCTGAGAAAGAAGAATCTGAGTGCAAGTCCAGCCTGGACTACATAGTAATACTGTCTCAAAAATACGTGTGCATTTTGCCATTGCTCTATAAGCACTATAAATAAAATGTAGTCATTAAGGCTTCAGTTAGTTTTAACATTTGTTAAAAATAGGGGGGAAAGGGGTGGGGGAGATGGCTCAGTAAAATAAGCGCTGGCCTGGCAAACACAAGGGCCGGAGTTCAAGCCCTGGTTCCGGGGGAAAAAATATGTGTGCGTGTGTGTATAAATAGGGGGAAAAGCAAACAACGTCCTAATCAGATGAACTGAAAAATACTTGACCAAGATTAAAATCTTACAAAAAGTGAGTAATATATTTGTGTGCGTGATTCGAAATTAAAAAGCTATTTGGCTCATTTTCAAAAAAAATACTTTAATATTGAGTATAAACAAGCAGAAAAGCATGTTACAGAATATTATTTTCACTATACTTTAACATTGATATTATTCCTTTTTTAATTTTAAGGTTTTTGATAACAGTCTTGCAAACTACACAGTTCAGACTACTGATTCTCCTGTCTCAGCCTCCCTAGTGCTAGGATAACAGGTGTGCACCACCACACATGATTCTGGTGTGGCATGGCATGCCAGGTCCAGCATGTGGTACCAGGGATTGAACTTGGGACCTTGTGCTTGCCAGGCAGGCACTTATGCCACTGAGCAATACCCAGCCCTTGATATTGTTCTTAATTGTAGACATAAACCGAGTGTGTGGAAAGGGAGGGTGACTTGATACTAGGGACTAAAATTGAGGCTACTGGGAGTTAGGGATTCTGATTTTAGCATTTTAGCTTCACAAGTCCCCATTTTTGAGGTGGTGGTTTTTGGTGTGTTTGTTTTTTAATTTTTATTTTTTTTAGGGAAGGGTCTACAGGGTGTTCAGGGTTTCACTACTAGATTGGATGCATAGTGATCCACCTGTTTACAGCCTCCCAAGAGCTGGGGTGACAGACACACCACCACCCTTAGTCTCAATTGCTGTTTCCATGTGTCCTCTGCCTAAGCAGGTGCTTTAGTTCACTGAACTATCTGGCCAGACCCCTCCCCTCCTTTTTTTTTGAGGTTCTGGGGATTGAACTCCAGACCTTGTGCTTGCCCGGCAAATGCTTATTTTACTGAGCTATCTCCCTGGCCCACAAAGTCAACAGTTCTGTAAAGTGAAGCAGTATTTTTATTCTTACTGCTTGAAAGATTCTGTTCATCTCATAAAACTATTGTGGTGGGCTCTGGATGTAGCTCAATGGAACAGTACCTGCCTGGCAAGCACAAGGTCCTGATTTTGATTTCTGGTACAAAAAAAAAAAAAGAGAGAAAAGAAATAATATGGTGCCACTTTGTCTTGAAAACAGTAATTGTTCTTATATTTTGGATGTAGGTAAATATGTTTATCCCTGAAATAAGATTTGTGAGCTGAAATACCTACATCATTTTCTCTATCTTCTCAGAGTATAAATTATAACTGAGATCCTGAACTGTAAGATATCCTAATAAAATGTCACTTTCACAGTGTTACTGCAGCTTATCATGTACCTTTTCATCCTCGTAATTCCAAAGGTTGATGTGTAGGGGGATAGATCTCTGAAGCATGAAATAGTAATGGAGCTTTAGGTTAACCTTCTGAGAAAACAACACTTTTATTTACCTACACAGGTACTCAGCCCTCGTTTTCTTTACATGGATCTAAGAGATTTGTGTCTTCCAAAGTGGGCTGTAAGGTTAAACGAATGCTGTAAAAGGAAATGATAGATTCTGAAGAGTAAATGGGATACCATTTATATCCCTGGACTCTGCTTCTCTGTTGTCTAGAAGCAGACCTGTTTTTGTCACTATAAGTGAAGTTTGACTCACCTGTGATGCATCCTTGGTTTAGTTTGGAGGGAAGCAAGGTAGGAAAGCCAGGAGGCTTTTTTTATACCCCCTCCCCTCCAGAAATTTTTTTTTAAGATGGGGGAAAATATAAAAATGATACAGAATCTTAAAATAAGATGATGGAAAATTAACGGTGATTATTGTATTTTGTTACCTGCACAGTAGTTGCTTAGATTACAAGATATTCAATCAAACAATATAAACACTGTTTTCATTTTCATTTTTGTATGTATTGTCTATAGGGTCTCACTATGTAGATCAGACTTGTAGTGATTCTCCTGTTTTCAGCCTTCCAAGCACTGGGATT